GAGCTGTTTTTCTACCACCAGCACTGGAAAAGGAAGAATATCTAAAAGAAAGAAATGAAAGAAAGAAGGAAAAGAGGGGTGGAATGTGGCAGGGGAGTCTGATCATGGTGGTATTTCTTACAGCTCCCAAAAACATGGCTGGAGCTAACAGTGATACATCCTGAAACGAAGCAAAGGGATCAAGCATTAGCTGTACATTATTGAAAGAAATATTTGCTCGTATTTTTTTCCTTCCGATGCTTTCTTTTAAAAGAAAATGGTGGAAAAGAGACAGTTCTTGTGATGCTGGGATGGGATCGTGCCATTCTCCTGTGAGTATGAAGAGAGATATGAGTGTTTGCAGTGTTTTATTCCCTGTGGAGCTCCTGTCTAAACCTCAAAGCAGCCCATGAAAAAACGGCTCTGTGATTTCAGTGGTTGTGATCTGCAACTGTTAAAATTTTTGATCAAAGTTGTGACCAAAACTTTTGGAATTTGTTCTTAATGGGGAATTTCCAGAAAATGGATGATTTGCGTTGATACGTTCAAATATGCTTAAATGCTTATAAAATATGCTTAAATATTTCCACTTTGTTGTCCAAATATTTCAAGGGGGAAATTATTCAAATTTCAGTTCTGTTTCAGTTTTTACAGGAGTACACATCCCCATCTGTTACTTTTTTGTCTGTAATATTTGTTGTCTGAGCCTCATGGTTACCTCTTCTCTTCCGTAACACTCGTAACTGACACCCAGTCTACACAGCAAAATAACCTCTTAACAATTTTCAGTTAACCGTTTACAACCCTGCCTTAATGATGCTCACACAAACAACTCAGGATGTTACAATGAAGCACCCAAACAACCTTCCTCTCCAACTGCTAAAGCACCAACAAGGAACCAGGCTGCTGATCGGAAGGAGAGAGATCTGCAGCGATGCTGCCAGCGCCCACTGCTGCATCTGACCATTCCTGCTGCTGAACCCCGACACCCCCGGGTGTCACGGGGTGCTGTCTGTAAAAGCACTTTGCAGTGCTGCCACACTCACCTGTGCTGACCTGCTGGCACCCGTGCTGCCTTCTCACCGGGCATCTCCACTGCTGGTCCCACTGCGTCCCGCTCAGATCCCATCTGCTGCCTGCCCACCTCCTGCTATGCCAGTGCTTTGCTTCCTCACCCCTCTACCCTCAGAGTTGTTCCTGTGGCTCTCCACTCTTCTGATCCTCGCTCTTCTCACAGCAGGCTCGCACCCCCCAGGGAATATCAAGCTCCAGCCCAAGGTAGGGGAAAGGCTTTAAAAGGTCCTCAGCATTATCGCGAAATACGTGCTTGGCTCTTGACAATGCGCAAGAAGAAATGACAGAGACACGTGTTTTTCTTTCATGTTGCAAAAAACAGTGTTTATTGCAGTGAAAAGCGTAATTTCCCAGCTATCTGTGATCAAAGGTGTCATGATTATGACTTTATTCAAACTGTTGTTCTTGGCACTGCTCTCATCTGTCATGCAGGTCTCCCTGGGTTAGTTGTTTTCTATAACCTATAAAAAGGTGGCACAGATCAGACCATGAGAGCCAGCTATTTGTGAGCAGTGTGTGTTGTGTTTGGGATGCGGGATTTACAAAACTGAAACAAGGTTTTTGCTCCTTGGCCACTCTTGAAATTAGGGTTTCTGTTATCTTATAAAACAGGTGGTGCTCCAGATTTGAGCATCATGCATTGCCTTCTAGGATGCGACTGTAACAATTAGTGTTATTGATAGGTACCAATCACTTCTGAAGTTGCACCAATCAAACTCCTAATGAGTATAAATCAATCTCTAGACTGAAGGAAAAATGCATTTCTAAACATCAAGACTTATGTAAAAGTGGAAATAACTTAAATACCTAAGTGCAAAGAGGATGCTTTATTTTTGCTTTGGGGTTGATTTTCATGCTGGTAAGGACCTACCTACAGAGATAGCTGCTTGTGTGTAAAAGAACCAGTTGAATCAAAAGTGATACAGCTCCCTGAGCAGATGGCAGAGCTGTCCATCAGATAACTGTCAAATAATTGTTCAGGTAGTTTTCCTTGAGAAGACACAGCTTTAAGATATATTTTTCCCTTCCTGGTCCTCCAGTAGTGACCTTAGAAATTGTCAGGTGTCATTATTCTCTAGTAGCAAGGCCTTGAGCTTTACCTCCTTGATCCAGCTGTCGAAAGCAGAGATCCGGGTGAAGACAGAAGGCTTCCGATAATAGTTGCAGCCAAGAGAAGAGCCAAAGCTGACAATACCATGCACTTCCCACACGCCATCTGCATTTTGGCAATTCAGTGGGCCACCAGAATCCCCCTGAGAAGAAGAGGAAATGCAGTTAATGGCAGTCATAGTGTGAGTAGTTCTTCCTTGTGTTTTAGGCTTTCCTTTCCATCAGGCCTGGTTGTGTCAAACCAAACCCTAAGGTTGGTGTTCTCTGGACTCACGTTACAACTGGAGGTGATTCCATCTCCACCAGCGCACACCATGTTGGTTTTCACTGAGCTTCCCCACCAGCTAGACTTGGAACAAGTTGCATAATCTACCACCAGCAACAGCCCTTGCTGCAGGTCATCTGGGAGAGCTCCATTTGCTGGGAAGTAACAGACACAAAGGAGTCATGACACCAGCTGGCAATGAAGGAAGAACAAAAGTGCATTGCTAAGTTTCTCCCAGGATCCGGGTACTATTCCTCCAGGTAAGAAACTTCATCTGGGCTGCATAATTCATTCCTTAGCTGCATTCTTTCATTTAAAAAAAAAAAAAAAAAAAAAAAAAAAAAAAAAAAAAAGGCTGTGACTTACCAGGAATTTCTGTTTCACTTATTAATGTCTCTTTGTTAGAGAAACAAAGGGCTCTTCTTTGTTCAGAATTTGCTTACTGCTCTGGGAACTGCTGCTTGAGCTGACGCTTCTGCTGAAGCCCCTGGGATTTCTCTTTACATCTATTCCCTTATGTGTCTTTCCAGTTACTCAGCAGAGTGTATCAGGATTAGAGAATTCCCAACCTGCTGTTAATATTCACGTTAGAACAGCTGCTGAAAACCTACTAAAGGGCCCTCTAGTGCATTACTAGATCCATTACAAGGAAAATAAGCTTGAAAGGCAGAGAAAATTCATATGGTGAGCGAAGTGGGCACCGATGAACTTGGGTTTGAGGGGATCTTGATCATCACCAACAACCTTTTTCCAGTCAATCCCGAGGAAGATGGCAGTGCTGAAGGCCTTTGTTTTGCAGTTTTGCCCATCTCCCACTACTCACTCTGCAGTCTTCCCCATCCCGTCACATAGCAGGCAGTGTTGGATGACAGGATGCTTTCTGCAGGAGGGAGGCAGGCCAGCCGGATTTTGTCGCTCAATTCAACGTGTTCGGTGAGTTTGATCAAAGCAATGTCATTCCTGTGGTCATATGAACACTTGTGAGAGGGGTGAGGGGACAAAGAGGATTGCAAATAGTTAAGAGACAGCAGAACGACAAAAAGAAATTATTTAAAAAAAGAGATGCAAGGGAGCAAAAGAGGCCACTGCACAAGCAGTAAAGATTCCTCCACCCTTAAAACAGTGGGGAAATCCATGCACTGGAAGACTGTTCCCTGCAGAGCTGTCCCACTTTCGTGCTGGCAGCCCTCTGGAATGTTTCCTTTATAGGTTCTCTTCACCAAAAACAGATGCATGTGTGAGAACCAACTACAGGCACCTGGAAAGTGAAATGGTTTTTTTGCTAATGTGCTCAACCCACCAGCATGCACAGGAGTCCTTCAAAGTCCCTACGAGGGTATTAATACCATTTAATTGATCATACTCCATGTTTATGTCTTTCATGCAAGATGTTCAAAATGGTTTTTAAATTGTTTGATCAATTTATTCCCTCCTGCTTTATGAAGAAAATTATTGCCTAGAATAGCAGTTTCTCATCAAAACATGAACATGCAGAATGGCAGCTGAAAATGCAATTAATCAATTAGCAATTAATATGGGAAGCTCTTTATCTTCTCTTGAGGAGGAAAGGTACAGTCTGGAGCAAACATTTTGAAGTTTTTGAAGTTTTGCTTTGCTTCCTGTAGGTGAATAAACACTTTCCACCAACTTACCCACTTGCAACGCTGTATGAATTCCATTTCTCATGGACAACAATTTTTTCTGGGAAGGCTGTGACAGATCCTTCCTCCTCAGCTGCTAGGTTGTATTTTCCAAGAAGCACTCGATAATTCCTGCTAGAACTGGACAAGAAAAGAACTAAAGTTCAGCTGTGTTAGTTACTGAATTATCAAATTGTCAATAATAACATGCAGCCAACTCTTCCTATTCCACGTGATGACCTCCTCTACCACCTACTGATGCCATAACCAGTGTGTAGTGGATGCACATATTCAAGGACATATGATAACAGACCACAGTTGGGTTGTCTCCATGGAAACAATTTTGATGATGGGGCAGCACATTTGTACCTGATCATTTCCTTCTTATACTTTCCTGTAGTATGAAGAGTGGACAAAACACAGAGCTCTTGACTCCATGGGAAGGAGAGAACTGGCATTAATATGTTTGGGTTTTTTTCTTCGTCTGTCTCCAGTCAAGCATTGCTTTATGAGCACAGACTTTAACTCAATGGTTTACCTGATGCAGTGTGCAGCTGTCAATACCCAGTTGGTTGCAATGAGGATTCCTCCACAGGTGTGATGCCAACCACTACTTGATTGGTATTGAAGAGAGGCCTAGGATCAACAGATATCAAGCAAGGCTCAGATTTTTGCTTGCTGATTTTTCCAATGTTGCATTTTCTTCCAGCACATGTATCACAACTTGCTACTTGAAGGTAATGGGAGGTCTTTAAGCTAGAAGAGTTTTGAAGAATCTTAGAACCATCAAGACCTCTAAGAGTACCTAGTGTAACTCTTCACCTACCGCCAGTACTGCCCACCAGTGCCACATCTCCACGTTCCTTGAACACCTCCAGGGATGGTGACCCCATCACTTCCCTGGGCAGCCTGTGCTACTGCATCACTGCTCTTTCAGAGAAGTTGTTTTCCCTAATACCCAACCTGAACTTCCACTGGTGCAACTTGAGGTTATTACCTCTCATCCGATTGCTGTCACCTAGAAGAGGCCAATCCCCACCTCACCACAACCTCCTTTCAGGACTTCCTGTCCTCAGGAGAAGGATTTCCTCCTTTCCTACCATTCAAAAGTTTGATTTTTTAATGTTTGGGGTTTTTTTTCCCCAAAGTTCAAGCCTGGTCCAAACAGAACATTTTGTTTTCTTCAAAAATCAATTTGTTAACTCAACGTACAACTGTGTTCCAGTAGGCATTGTATTCTCCACTGAATTTTACTGTATTCCCGCTAAATACGGGCTGGTCTACTGCGAGAACATGAAGACCTCTCTAAGCAGCAAGCTGTGGCATGCAAGGTATTACAACTCTAATAATTTCAGGGAAGAACAGAAGGATTCACCTGCCAGGGCCAGCTGTATGGTCTTGCATCTTCTCCTCCAACAACTCGAGACACAGCAGGTGGGTAGGCAGGAACCCCGCAGCCAAGGGCTGGAAAACATACAAAGATTTGTGTTTTAAGAGTAGGAACTGAAAAAGAATTCTGTAAGAGAGGCTGGGTTGGTTGGTTGGTTGTTCTTATGGTTTGTTTGTTGATTTAATATAGACAGTGTTTGTATGGAACGTTGACATTGAGATTTTGGAAAGGGTCCAGAGGAGGGCGGCTAAGATGATCAGGGGCTGGAGCACCTCACCTATGAGGACAGGCTGAGGGAGTTGGGCTTGTTCAGCCTGGAGAAGAGAAGGCTGCGGGGTGACCTCATTGCAGCCTATCAATACCTGAAGGGAACCTACACCCAGGAGGGGAGTAAACTCTTCAAAAGGGCTGACAACAGCAGGACTAGGGGAAATGGATCCAAGTTGAAGGAGGGAAGATTTAGGTTGGATGTTAGGGGGAAGTTCTTTACTAGGAGAGTGGTTAGGCCCTGGAACGGGCTGCCCAGGGAGGTTGTGGATGCCCCGTCCTTGGACGTGTTCAAGGCCAGGTTGGACGGGGTCCTGGGCAACCTGATCTGAATGTGTATGTTTGGTGGCCCTGCTAGGCAGGGGGGTTGGAACTACATGATCCTTGGGGTCCCTTCCAACCCGGGTGATTCTGTGATTCTGTTATTCTGTTGAAAGGCAGAGATACAGCCTACAATTGGATGTAATACAGGTGAAGATACAGCCATCAGTCAAGGCTGAGCAATGTTATATAAAGCCTATTTGTTTTCTGGCAGGTAATCAAATCATGTTGGCTCAACCAAATTCTCATGAATCAACTGAGATGCAGCTCATAGCTCATAGCACATGCAAAGCAATCTGGCATGGATTGACTGTGTTACAGAGCATTCAAGCTAAGTAAAATAACTTCTTGTTACAGGCTGAGAGCAGTGGTGCTCCTTGAACTTCTGTGATATGAACAGAATAACTTAGTACCTAGCTGCCATTCTGAACCTTTTATTTAACAAAAGCAATTAATTAATTGTCTTATTCTGCTTTAAAAAAAAAAAAAAATAGGAAAGCTGCTATTAGATTTTAATTCACTTTTTTCTTTAGAACTGGTATTGAAATTGAGCACATACCTGCAGCTGCCAGAGTCAGCACAGCAAAGAGGATTCCAAGCATGATGCCAGGTAACTGCATGCTGTGGGCTCTGCTTCACAGCTTGTTTTATATCTCACCTCCTGGAGACGTGAATATGTGAATGTCCTGACACCAATGGAAAACTGTGGGATAATTTTTTATATGCACAAATGCTTAAAGGAAGGGAAAAAAAAAAAACCCTATAGATTGACCTTGAATCTGGGCTAAATATAAAACTTTGGCTAAAAGCAATTTCAACTGACTTGCATGTAATCTATAGCAGTTGTTTGTTTTCCCATTGCCTTGAAAATTCATCAGAATGTGTTTCCTGTATGAAAACATTAATGAGTTATTCTAACACTGAATAGTATGTGAGCAGTAATGCTATCTGATGTGTAATCAGACAGTGATAGACTTCACAGAATCACAGAATGGCCCAGGTTGGAAGGGACCCCAAGGATCATGAGCCTCCAACCCCCTGTCACATGCAGGGCCACCAACTTCCACATTTAATACCAGACCAGGCTGCCCAGGGCCCCATCCTGCCTGGCCTTGAACACCTCCAGGGATGGATGGGGCATCCACAGCCTCTCTGGGCAGCTGTTCCAGCACCTCACCACTCTCACAACAAAGAACTTCCCCCTGACATCCAACCTAAATCTTCCCTCCCTCAACTTAAATCCATTTCCCCTTGTCCTGCAGTTATCTCCCCTTTCCAAGAGTTGATTCCCCTCCTGTTTGCAGGCTCCCTTCAGGTACTGAAGGCTACAATGAGGTCACCCCACAGCCTTCTTTTCTCCAGGCTGAACAAGCCCAGCTCCCTCAGCCTGTCTTCATCAGGAAGGTGCTCCAGTTCCCTGATCATCTTTGTGGCTCCTCTGGACCCTCTCCAACAGCTCCCTGTCCTTCTTGTACTGGGGGCTCCAGACCTGGATGCAGTAGAGGGGAACAATCACCTCCCTGTCCCTGCTGGCCACCCCTCTTCTGATGGACCTCAGGATCCCATTTACTTTCCAAGCTGCAATGCACACTGCTGGCTCATGTTCAGTTTTTCATCCATCAGGACCCCCAGGTCCTTCTCTGCAGGGCTGCTCTCAAGGAGCTCCTTCCAGTCTGTATGGATGCCTGGGATTCCTCCGGCCCAAGTGCCAAACCTTGCACTTTGCTCTATTGAATCTCATTATGTTCACCCAGACCCACCTTTCAAGTCTATGGAGGTCCCTCTGAATGGCATCCTTTCCTTTCACCGTGTCAACCACACCACTCAGCTTGGTGTCATCAGCAAATTGCTGAGGGTGCACTCGATTCCGTTGTCGACGTCATTGATAAAGATGCTAATGATGTTAAAGAGATTTGAACACATCAGTGGGATTGGAATCATTTCCAGACATCTCTTCAGACTTTAGTTGTTGTGTGATGATATGATTGCTTGAAATTTTGTTTGTCTGCTTTATTTTTTGACAGAATGGCAATGTATCTTCTTTCCTAAACCAAGTTGCATTGTGTTTCAGCTCGCCATCCTTCCTCAGTAAAACCAACTGCGATTGCTTGGGAGCAGATGTTACAAGGAGTACAGAGAACAAGCTGTCTGTGATGATGGAGGATGATGCAGCATGGTGAGCCAGGCTTTATTTCTTTTCTGTCCCTTCAGTTCTTAGATCAGTGGCACTTCCCTGGAAGCAAATGAGGTTTCTGTAGTACAGCAAATGGGCATTTTCATGGTGGAAGGCAGAAATATATAATCCTTTGCTGTTTCTTTTTCCCTCTCAAGAATGCATTGTCCCACCAAAACAATGCTTTACGTGGTTGGACTGGATGATCTTGGAGGTCTTTTCCAACTTGGTGATTCTATTATATGAACAACAGTGCTTGAACAAGTTGCATTCTGAACTTCAATTTGAATCAACCCAACTGTTCTAGCATTTTGGGTTTATCACGTGACAAAAACAAAAATCTGGATTAACCAACCATAGAATTGAGATTATAAAAAAACTGAAAAATCAGCAATTAATTCTCTCAACATCTAAATTTATACAATGAAACAACGTACTGTGCTTTCAGCTTCCATGCAGCTTTCTGTATACTGTTCTGCCACTCTCTCTTCATTAAATAACAATGAAAATTAAGTATAAATTCTGGATGTCAATTACTATTTCAGTTTTCCTTCTTTGTGGGTATGGCATAAATATGGACTTGCTTGGGCTATTTTTTTTTTTTTTCCAAGCATTTTTACAATCATTTCACAAGCAATCTTCTGCTACATTAGGGGAAACCCTTTTCTCTCTTATTTTTTTCTTTTCCTCTTTGTAAAGGAATTCTAAGTTATTTCATTGCCTGGGGAGGAGTTTAATAAGAATCCCATTTTTAATGGAGAACCCCCTCAAAACTTTTGTGTGTTGCTCCGTTTCTGCTTTATGTAACAATTGCTCATTGTCTTTTCCAGGTCTAGTCTGAATAGGCTGAAGTATCTTTCTTGGGCTCAGTGGACATCGTATGTTAGCAGCTCTGCTGTCGTACGTCAAAAACCTCATCCCAGTGCCATGATGGCTTTGGAAACAGCTCCTGTCTTCGTGCTGAATGTTTCACAGAACCTACACAGCTCACGGGGCTTCAGTAAGAAAGAGCACAGGTACTTCCAGTGTGTTGTTAAAGCATAATAGCTAATAACTCTGTCCGTGTGATAATGTACAATTTATTAGGTAGTCCATTGGATGGATCCGTGATCCATTTATGAGTGTTCTTCAAACCTAAGCTTGGTCTGCACACCTCCAGATAGAACAATGTTACCTGGAGCCCAGGGAATGAAGATTAATGTTTCTGTTATTGTGCTTTCCACCTTCTGCCTTTAAAATTGCCTGTTTCCAGCTTGGACACATTTATATTTTGTTTCCTAAGCTGTATTTTTTTTTAAACCCAAGCACTTGTGTAGTTGATGTAATGTAAGGCTTGGATGTAATGTAAGGCTTGTCCTAACTGAGCAGAGAGCAAGGGAAGGAGAGAACAGAGACCAAAGAAACCCACACTTCAGCGATCAGGTTAGATTCAGAAATATTTATTTAGAAACAACAGCTTTGGTATTTTAAAACCAAACAACCTTTAAACCACTAGAAAGTGAGATGTCTCCCCCCACAGCCAAAACAAATGAATGCACAAAGCCTCAGTATGTTCAGAAGAGGAAACCTGCAGATCAGCATTTTTAAGTCCAGAAAACAGTTTCTTTAAACTGATTTTGCACTCTACAATCATAAAGGCTGAAAAGACATTACCTGCACTTAGATACCTACAGTTCAACTGACTGTCTCATTACTGAACTGGAGGCAAAATTATTAACATCCTCCCCCACCCTCAAGCAATAAATTAAAAAACACCAGAAATGAAGTTATGCTGAAATTTTCTAGTTAATTTAACTCTACAAAGGGAATCATCATTCTTTATTTTCCTGTAAAATTAAAAAACAAATCAAAATATCAAAGGACTTGGTATATCTTCAAGTATTTTTACCAAATGGATTACTTTTAGGGAACTCAACAGCTTATAAGGAAAAAGAAAATGTCTGTTACACAAGATTCTGGGACAAACTCTTCAATAACCACATGTTCCAAGTCTCAGATTCCTTTCTTAACAAGGCACAAAAGGATTGTTGCTTTCAAAAGGTCCTTGTTCTCAGCTGAAAAATCGTCAGATGTCTTGTGCAAATGGAGGCTGAAAGCAGGACTAAGTTCACTTGGACACCGGGAAATTCCCGTTCAATTCATGAAACGGTGCTATTTCAACACCAGCAATCTTGCTTACTGCTACAGAGGTTTTGAGCTCCAGCTAGCTTCCACTGCATCCTTCGTTTTGGAATTGAGTTCTGCACCATCTTCATTTTAAGTAGGTCTAATTAAGACAGACTTGTTTGCTATACACTGCAAAGCTTTTTGCAATATCAAGAAGGAAGAGGTGTGAAGTCAGCCCTGGTGAGTAGCTGTGAAGTTTCTCAGCATCTCAGAAAGTGTCAGGGACAGTTACCTGTTGTAATGGCTAACAAGTAATTTTGTAAAAGGCAGACAGCAAATGTTGTAGATGACAAAGGCAACAAGATAGCAGTAAAAAAAAAACAAAACAAAACACAAAAAACCCCACCATTTTATAATGTCAAGGGTACATTTCAGGATGTGTGGCAGGATGCAGCTGTATAATTCAAATTACTTCCCCACCACTTCTTCCTTTTGCACTAAAGTTTCACCATGGTCATATGCTTCTAATTGCAGCTGGCTTTGATATAAATATCTGTTCTACCTCTTCCACGTTAGCTTGTTCAGCCAGAAACACCATCCCTCTCATTCATCAATAGATGGCTGGTATTCAGACCTGCTTGGGATCAGGCCTGATCTGAACACTGCAAAGCCCATGAGCTTACAGGAAAATGACCAGCTGAGCTGACACCCATCAGATTGTTGACTGTCCCCTCCCATCCAACTTTAACTATCCAAAATTCTATGTTATGATTTGGAAAAACGGGGCATTCCAAAGCCAGACCTTCTCCTCTGACAGCTCTATTATGTTTTGTTCCTGCTTTGTACCAACACACATCCAGAAAGTACCAGTCCTAAGAGCAGAAATCACTTCAGTGTCTATTCTGGACTAGGATTTCGCTAGTGACCAGGCTTTCTAGGCTACTCAAAACAAGAATTTCAAATCTTTTACACCAAAGTGGGAGATGCTTGAAGTCAGAACCTCCAACTCATGGTGAAAGCACTCAGCACCCTCCTTAAAGCAGCTACTATGTCGTCTGAATGGGAGAAACCCTCAAAATGATGGTGCTAATGTGGCATGATGGAGTATTGCACAGTGTCTATGCATTTGTAAATGTTAACCAGTAGTCCCAACAGGTCAGCACCTTGACCTAAGAGCACTAGCTTCCATCTGTGTGTTCTCATTTGACAAGTCACACATTGAAAGCAGGCAGACAAGCATGCACATCTCACACACAGCAGTAATTGGCAGCTCTCGCTTAAGTATTCCCTTACTGTTTAATAAGGAACCTATCTGGTGACACAGCTGCTGTGGGAAAAGGACAGAAAAGCTGCATCTGCCTTAATCTGCAGCCTTAGGAATGTTTAAGGACCGACAATGGATTTCTCTCTGCAATATTTGTGAGCCCTACCACTCCAATCCCTGTCCTAACACTACTGCGTGCAAGATGCCATAGATCACTTGTTGCAAGAGAGACTGAAAATCCTCATAATCTGAGAGACTCCCTAGGCACAGTTGACAAAAACAGGCTGACAGCACTCAGAGGAAGGCAGCCAAAAGCAGCAGCCTTACACCTTACTCCTGAAAAGAGGCTTGGCTCCTGGCCCACAATATTCATTGTAGATGAGCTTGAACAGAAACAGATGAAACAGTGTGATTAAGGATGCCACGCTGAACCAGAACAGGAAGGGTAAACCTGGGTACTGCTTAGCCATGTGTTCCTCATGAGCCAGAATAGCTTTCAGATGGAGTGTGTGTCTCAGGTCCTGCAAGTGGACCAAATCTGTCGATATATAAAGTAGTGGCGTGATGGGCTGAGTCACCATGACTGGGAACGTATGGCCTCGTGCCTCTGAGGTCAGCTCCACGGGCTCGTTCATACAGCCTGCTTCACATGCATATAGTCTGACTGGCTTGTCTTGGAATTTCACAGACACGTGCAAGAAGGGCTTTCCTTCCGCATCCAGCAGAACGGCTAAGTTAATCAAATCCTTGTTGTAATGGATCCCACGTAAGGAATAGCTGTTGTGAAGTACATCAGGGTCAGCCTGAAACTGAAGATGGTTTTCTGTGAACTGCAGACCTCCAAAACTGAGCACCATACCTTGCATAAGCCCGTGGACTCCGGCTGCCACGAGAGCCTTACAACCCCGTTTCTGCAGGGTCAGCTTCCACAGATCTGAGAGCTGCAAGACCTGGGGCACGCTGGTCAGCTTTGCTGGCCACAGGTTCTCTGCATGCATGGTTGCGTGGCCGCTGAAGCAATGGTCAGCATAGTTCAAGCTGGCTTCCATTTTTTCTCTGTCTTCACTGCTAATGAGTGGATCTAGCAGAGGAGCTGGCATGCTTGAAAGCATGTAGTAGAGAGTCATGTTAACAGTCTCACTGGATGGTGTATGTGAATCTGTGATCTTCCTCATTTCAATCCCTGCAATAAATGGCAATAACCAAGAGTCAAAGGATCATACGTGAATATGACATTTACCACAAGAAAAATTTCAAAGGGACATCTATCACTATTAACATCTATTACTGGCTGTAAAATACAAAGCCCTGCATTATCTGGGCAGCCATTCTTTTATTCAAGGCCATGAAAATCTTTTAAGAGCATCCCTGGAGTAACAACACGACAGTCCTCAACTTTCATGGAGAATTTTACAGAAGTATAAAGATGGTCCTTTATGCTGCAACTGGAGGTCAGCTCCATTCCCATCTTGCAGCTGGCATGCTAGGCAAATCAATGAAGTCCCTACAGACATGAAAGCCAGTGCATCCAGAATTATAGTGGGAAACATCATTTTTTTTACGCAGTGAGGATGACTCCACTTTTCTAAGTGGAATCACAAAATAGCCTGAGTTGGAAGAGACTCAAAAGGATCATGGAGTCCAACTCCTGGCTCCACCTGGGACCATCCAAAAATCAGACTTTAGATTCCAAACTCAGAATGCTATTTTATTTTCCCAGTGCCTCTGAAGGCCTTACAGGAACCAGGTCACCATGCATTCAGCTCTTCTCTAAAGCAACTGTTTGGAGGTTGAGGATCACTTTCCTTACCTGAAATGAACAGGTCTGACCAGGTCTGCTGGTGCTCCTGGAAAAGATCTTCCACCCCCATCTGCATCACCTCCAGCATCTCTTTCTTGGCCGACTCCCTCAGCTTGCTGAAAGTCTCCTCCAGCCTGGAGACCTCGATGGGCTCCGAAGTGTACACCACAGACCACACGGTTTCATCAAAGGTAGACTTGGGTGCCACCTGCACCCGGCTCACAAGCTTCTTAGCAGCCACCACCATGAGCACCACCTTGGGACTGCCAGGCAGTAGGAGACGGCCGGAGGAAAGCAGGAACTGCCGCTCCTCCACCTTCTCCAAGCTGGTAGCAAAGCGGGCGCTCAGCGAAGGTGCCGAAGCTGGGGCCGAGGCCTCAAAGGTGGCCACCCGCTCGGTAGGGTTGGCGATGCGGATGCGGTGCAGGTAGAGATGCGGGCGGCTCCGATGGGCCACCACCTCCTCCCGCACCGTCACGCACTCCCCGGCACCTCCGGGCCCGGCACCCGTCTGCACGCAGCGCACTCTCCGCACGGCCCCGTCCCGCAGCGCCGCCTGCGCCGCTCGCGCCTCTCCACGCCCTCCCAGTGCCCTCAGCCGCACCAGCGCCGGGTACTCGGTGGGAAGCGCCGGGCCTCCACCAGACCCCGCCGCCGACACCCACAGGCGGCCGGCGGCTACGTCCAGCAGCAGGAAGCCGTTACCCGCCAGCGCCAGGCCCGGCCCGTCGCCGGCCTCGTCCTCCGGCAGCGGCAGCGCATCGCCGCGCTCGGCCTGAGCCCGCCAGGGGCCAGCGGCCGCCTGCAGGCAGAGGGCGGCGGCGCCGCGGGGCTCCGCTCCCCGC